TCCAGGGGCGGGTGTGGATAGAGGAAGGAAGCCAGGAGGTGCCCAAGCAGTTGGCCTTGTGAGACTGGTCTTCGTCTGGCCTCTACCCGTTGACCTTTCAGGCATGATCGGATCTACGGCTGTGAGAAGCCATCCTGTGTAGCTCGCAGGGTCACTGAGGCGCGCAAGCCATCACATCACGTCAAGGTGCAGTCTCGTCGTGATGGGTACGCGCAAGACACGCCTGTTGACCCACCTGCATAAGAGTCCTCACGTTGAAAGCCCCCAGATTGAAAGATTGACGAGGTTTCAGAATCTGCACTTTATTTACAGGAGAACTAGTTACAGTGCTATTTGGCAAAGACCTTTGGCGAGTGACGACCAAGTTGTCTGAGGAAAAGTTACAGGTCGGAAGAAGGGGTAAAGTGATAGGGTTGGATACGGAAGACAAAGAGTTAAACAAAGGTTGGGATTTCTGAGCCGTAGCCCACTTATCACTACCCACCCCGCTCGATGCAATGGGCAGCGCGGTCCTGGTTATCCTGCGCGACGACCGATGCATTATGGAATTATTTTTTATTTTGTGTTCATTGGAGCTTTATGGACGGGTACTGCCAGGGTGTCCAGCCACTAAGCAGGAGAACGAATAGGGTTCTCAACTAAAGCCTTTATTTTTAACAAAAACCTAACCGCAAGGCAGCGGTTAAGGCGGATTGGAGGCCCATTAGCTTGGATCAATTATTCCTCCAACACGTTTTATCGACTGAGACTCCGACTCAAGTCGAGCCCCCAACCTGGGGGACCAGGGGACTGGACTTCGTCTGACCTCTACCCATTGACCTTCCAGGCATGATTAGATCTTTGGATCGGTAAAAGCCATCCTGTGTAGCTCGTTGGGTCATAGAGGTCCACAAGCCAGCACACCACGTCAAGGTGCAATGTCGTCGTAGCAGTCATTGTGTAATTTTGTTCATTCTCTATGTAGTAGATACGCGAATGAATTCTCAGAAAGAGTATCTTGACTGGTCGAAGATTATCCTGTGCGAGCCGTTTATCTCCCGTCTCGATCTGTTGAAGCATTCGTTGACTTGGTTTCTCGCAACTGTGAACTCAATTCTCTTCAGAAAACAAAACAATTCAATTAAACCTCATTCGTGGAGTGGTGCACACATCTCACTGTAGTCGGCCCCGGCTCAGAAGTTGCTACTTGGTTTCATTCTGTACAATATATTAATGTGCTCATCTTGTTTCGCATTGCTGAAGCAGAGTATTACTTTGGTTCGCACAGGTCTTTACCACCGTGGGCGCTGCCCCAAAGGAGATGACCGTTGCAACTTTTTGCACGTGTTCCTGAATCCCGGTGAGACAGTGTTCGATTTGCACAATGCTTTGCGTCAGCAACTGGGCGAGCTACCTCCAGACGAAAGGGTCAAACGGTGGGAATCTAGACGAAGGTATTCCATGATCCGTTCAGACCGTAATAGGCAAGTGATTGAGTTGCATTTTTATGTATATGTTCGTTTCCGCGTGTGTGGGAATCTAAGGCTATTGCTAAACTTAAGCACATTAGTCATTTTTCCTCTCTTGAATTTGCAATCTTTTGTGAACGTAAATATTCTTGCAATATGTAATGATATTTGGATTTGTAACGTTGTTTTAGAAGTGACGAACTTCTAAAATGCTTTTGCTTCGGATTCTTTTATAACGTTCCAAGTAAGATATTTCCCTTCATTCTACTTTCTAATCCGAACAGGTCACCTTCACGGTTCCGCCCACAGCAGCGGGATTCCCGGTATCGCTATTCGCGAAGATCGTCATCATCCTCTTCATCATCTAACAGTTCACCTACTCCCCTAAGATCAGTCGAACGGTTCAAGCGGTGCTCATCCCGATCACCTACAGAGAAGCGATCACTCCGTGCCCATAGACATCACAGCCGTCATCGTAGCAAAGAACGGAAACATCGCCACCACCATACATATCATCATCGGCGTTCGGGCCAAGAGCATAGCTCTTCTCGTCATCATTCTCCCTCGTCTTCCGATGATAACATATCTGCGAGTCGTTCGCGCAAACCACGAACGTAGTTCTTGCTCGCATATGTTCATAGGCATTCTATCACCCTGTTCTTTCTTCAAGGAATCGCGATATCTTCACATTCTGTAATGAGTTTCTTTCAAATGGCATTCCTTTCAGAAATTCATTGCGTATTTACCGCTTTGTACAGTGTTTTCCCCAAAAGTTGTACATTTTTACCGATCAATACCGTTTACTCCATTCTTTACGGTTACAACTATTTCTGTCATTAATAACCTCGGTCATTTTGTTCCTACGTAGTAACCGAGTGAGCGCATGTTTAGATCTGCAGTGCTATCGAAATACACCAGTAGGGAATGCATGTAACCCATACATACTCCAGTGTGTCACCGCGATTGCCTGGTTCTCTACTCGTAAATTCAGCTTTACTTGCCTGGTTACTCTACCCGGCTCATGTGATTGCGCGTAAACTGCGGTACTCAAACACTGATCATCTGTCTTAGTCCTGTTCCCGTACCGGCCACTACAGCAGCACTAGTCGTTCCACTGGATCATGCAACCGACAATATATCGTGGCGGCACCGGGATTGTCTATATACGTGCCGACACTATCCGTGATGCATCCTTAAAGTGGGATGTAGCTGTTTGGGTAAAAATTGTCTGCTTTCTGTATTGCTTCCCCAGGTAAATCGAGAGTGGGATTTGAATCAACCCAGTTGCTTATAACATTTTGCACTTTGAACATGTAAAACGCATGCCGCATACAGCTATATCACCAGTCGAAACAAAGGTAAGAGTGGTCACACCGAAATCTCTCATGACCGGAAGACCTGCTCATATGTGTCGCGTTAGGATTTTGAGATAGGAACATCAGGATCAGTGTAGTCGGTGTTTAGAGACCCCGAGTGATGTGGCTTAGTACCGAAACTAGTGACGCTCGAGCAACTACTTNNNNTGGTACTGCTGCTAGCTTCCGGGTCTTCACTTTGTTCGTTCATCCAAATGGGTAGCCAAAAGACAGGAACTAAAACCGCCGCAACCAAGTGTATCATTATTGGTTGTTTAAACTTAACTAAGTTTATTCAATATCACTGGAGGGCGATGATTTTCTACAACTACAAATGTCATCTGAAACAGCGGTAGCAGAGTGTTGATCGTTTGCAAGCTGCCGTTGTTGATAGTGTGCCTTCAAGAAGCACTGTGTTTGAGTGGTTTGTGGAACTGAAGCGTGGAATCCAATACGAGTCACCGACACCTACAGTGGAGGCCTTCATTGAACTGATCGAAGGATTGCCNAGGATTGCCCGCTTCAGCATGGCCGAGCTGTTTCATCAAACGGTCTGAGCGCGTGGAACTGTGCACGAACGTTGATGGAGTATACTTCGGAAAAATGTAATGCTTATTTTTGTGCAACCAATAAACTTTTTTATGCATCCAGAAACGTTTTGCTCAGACCTCGTATATCCGATTTGATAATTTGTCCTGAGTACTCATTCTCACCGACTGAACTGATCTCAGTGTTTGAAGCAAGGTGATCAATTCTAATGATCAGTTGTAGCAACTAGGTATTATTATGCAGTAGTGTTTGGATGGCGTGATCCATTAGTCAAAGCATGTGGATCATACACATTCCCAATGTTTAGAAGAGGAGTCAGAAACACGGGTTGCCATAATGTATCAGTGGTCATTTCGTTGCAACTGTACATGTGCATACTGCAGTCGAAGTTATTTTTATAGTCAGTGAGATAACTATGAGATGAAGACA